TTGGTCAAGGATTGTGCGCTTGGTATAGTAGATGCTCTGGTTATTCATATTATCATATTATCTACAGCTAAATTCCCAGATAAATGGAAGGATACCAGGGTTTGTCTTATTTACGAAGCGGATGACCGTGATTCAATTGAGAACTTTAGATCGATTTCAATATTGAATAATTTTGCCAAGTTATTTACAACCGCATCTACCTTTCCACCTATAGTGAAATATCCGAGTTGAAGCATGGGTTCATGTGTGGTAAGTCAACTGTCACCAATTTGGCAGTATTCACTCAGTTAGCGTCTAATGTCCTAGATAATCAGGGACATTTGGATGCAGTTTACACTGACTTTTCTAAAGCCTTCGATAAGGTTGATCATGGGGTGCTCATTGCTAAGCAGGGTTCATTTGGTTTTACTGACAAATCAATATCGTTATTAATGTCTTATATGTGGAATCGACAGCTGTACGTTTCTTACAATGGTTTCGAATCGTTTCGATACAATTCGTCATCTGGGGTGCCACAAGACTCTAACCTGGGGGACCTTATTATTTTTGATCTTTGTAAATGATGTATGTGATTATATTGATTGTGGTATACTGTTATTTGCTGAAGATTTGAAACTGTATGTTAATATTAATAGTGAAAGATTGTGAGTATTTACAAACGCAACTTTGCCGTTTGGAAGATTGGTGTATGCTAAACAGGTTACATTTGGATATTTCTAAATGCAAGGTAGTTACTTTATCCCGAAAGCTACGTAAAATAGAATATGCATACAGTATTGGGGGAATTGAGGTCACTCGAGTTTATACTGTTAGTGATTTGGATGTTACGTTTGACACTAGGCTTAGTTTTGACTATCATATAGATAATATTATGAATAATGCTAATAGGGCCTTAGGTTTTCTCATCAGAAACTGTAAGCTAATCAATGATTTAAGAGCACTAAAAACCTTGTATTATGCTTATATAAGATCCAAGTTAGAGTATGCATCCCTAATATGGAATCCCTACTATACCCAACTAGCAAAGTAGTGCTATAAGCTTTTGGTAAAAGAACCGTTCAGCCATAAAAGCTCTCTATTGTTGTTGCCTGGACACCAAAATGCTGGCTTAATGTTGTGTGGAATTCAAATTTGCTTTCTGCAACATATTTGCTCTAAAATGTGATGTTTAAAATATTCTTATAGCATAGTTATACAGCACCTTATAGGACAAATTTTTAACTGTTGCATAAACGTTTATACAACTATTTTATACGGCATATTTGCACGTTAGTCAAAATGGTAATGTTGAGGCATCCATGGTAACGTTTATAAAACAAACCCAAGCCTTGTTGTTTTGCTGTGCAAATTTACTACTTTAGCCAACAAATTGCTCCAAACGGAAGCACTTATACAACTGTTGTTTAGTAACTGTTAAAGGCTGTACATATGCAACAATATTACAACTTTTGTAGTACAAAATTGCTGTGCTTGGCATACATTTGTTGCTAAATATGTTGGTATACAACTTCACCATAACCTAACTTTCTGCTGTCATATTTTTGTTAAAATGGCATAACTAATGTTTTAAGACAAACAACGCATGCATATTGGTTCAAAAGGTTTTATCAACTGTTCAAACAGAAGATATAGATCTGGTACAAATTCTGGGTAAATCATTCGACTCTGTCGGTATTTCATTTCAGACATTTCTCAAATTGTTATATAACAGCTGCAGTAAACACCAAAATATTCTAATAAACTAAAGACAACATGGACGATGCCATGATTATACACAACCACCCATCATATTGGGCAAACATTTATTCCTCTATTTAATATTAAATAATTATGTTTCAGTTCGAAATTACAGATATATATTACTATATAGTAATAAACATTAGTGTAATTGTGTCTAAATCTAGGATTTGTGGAAGATTTAACGCAGATAAGTACAGTTTTCCATCTTAAAAATCTAGACATACCTTTGATCAATATTAAAATATGAATCAAATACGAAGCCCCCGTAGAAATTGCGTAACTACTTTGCACGATAATCATAATAAAATTTGCTGTGCAAGTAATTCAATAGCCCTATATCACAGTGTAGAAGTATATCATATACCTGTGTATGAAGTTCACAATGGCCGATATGTAAGTAAACAAGATGACTGTAATCTGTAAGTTATATATTCTGCACTTGGTCTATACAATACATAAGAAATATTTTGGTTGCAATAAAGTAGAATCACGTAACAGAATAGTTGTATAGTTGACAAAAACTGAATTCTTGCACTGACGCAAATGTCCTATAGCCGCTGCAAGAGGCTTACACGTTTGTTGTATAACTGTTACCTGCACCCTTATACAACCTCTTAAATGACTGAAGTGTCCTATTAGGTGTACCCATTCCGCTTGTATAGCTGTTCTAACAGGGTTTTGCCAATGTTCTTACAGTATACAATTCTGTGTAAGGAATACTGCATAATCATTCTTGCAACTCTAATAGGAGTGATAATTGTTAGTTGGGTAACTGTTATATAAACAGGATAGATGATGTTCAAAAAAGTTTCTTAAATATATAGCTTTCAAGTGCGATAGAGTCTACCCTCAACGTGGATCGGAGTATCAAATTCAGTTAGACAGATTTAAGATGACGTCTTTGAATGTGAGAAGGAAGCACAGTTCTGTTATTTTTTTGTTTAAACTCGGAATTGTCATCATAACTACAGTTTTTTAACGCCAAGATCCGTTTCAAGATTTTGCAGTCGTGAACATTTATTTATAACTTACAATAAAATCCATCATTATGCACAAAGGTCGCGGAATAACAATTTTGGCGTACATCCATTGTAACATACACTCTAAATTACAAAATCTTTGTGAGAAAAGGATACCTTGTATATAATATGAAGGAGATTAAATTACTTCCTACTATTTTTCCATAAGATGCTGGATCTTAAGGACACGTCAATGCTGAAACATACATTATCGAGCGCGAAATCCACTTCAAGGTACTTCAGCAATTTTATATTCACAATATCCTCTTTTCTGGAATAGTCTGGCCGTAACATTTTTTATGTTTGACTTGACCAGAATGCAGATTTCCTTTACGTTACAATCTAGATAATGCAATTACATATTTTTGTTAGTGAACCCACTATATTGCACAATATCCTTTATGGTACTCGTAGCTCGAGGCTACAAGAGTTTTACTTTCTCGCCACTGGCGCGCTGAAGTCACAAACATTTTTGAAAAGGAGACATTAGGTTTCTTGGATGTTATGTGCCTACTAACCCTTAGCCCCGACAACATAGAAAGTGCCGCTGGGCTTTGGATGAAATTTTCACACAAGGTTACTATGCCGAGGACGAAACAGCTTTTCATAGTGTCATGGCTTTTCGTGATCTATGCCATAGGTATAACATCCAAAACACATATCTCTAAATTTCTGAATTTTTCACGATCACAATACTTCCTCACTAGTTGGCGTCGAAACTAAAAATGAATCTAGTCGGACCTGAAACTGTATGATTTAATTTTATTCATACTGCGAGCCTATCCTTTCAGTTAGCAGCGTGGTTAAGCTTAGCGACTTCTGCTGACGCATTGTACAATCTCTATCTAGATCAAATTAATAATAACAGCAAAAGAAATCAATTAGACAAAGAGTGGTTTCTTGACATCACCTTAGTGATCGTTCATCTTTATTCATCACTCCTGTAGAGCGAAACCTGTGTAGCATATCGAAAAAAAAACTGGAATGGAGCATTATTATTGTAACCTTGATGATGTAACAACACGATGCGGTCAAAAATACAATAATAACCATTTGTTTCTCCCGCAGGTCTATGATTACGCTGTGAATCCGGTGTGCTATGCATGTATCTATTCGTTCTGCTATCATGCTGCTTGCCGTTCTTTCTAATGGGGTATTCACAGAAACTATATTATCTATAAGTGTCTGTCATTAAAAGAACCTTCAATTAGGAAATTTCCTTTTACTCAAAATACCAAGCAAAGATTTAGTATTTCCAAATTAAATTATTAATAAGGCACTACACATTTTAGGATTTTTCTTTATTGAAACACCAGATGCAGATTTTATTGCTTAAAGACTATGCCAGCTTGATGCCTCATCTAACTTCTCTTCGCATTTTGAATAACGAACAACCAATATTTATTATTGTACTAACGTACATTTTACTAGTGAGATGCAACAAAACCACAGTGTAATAAGAATAATACCTCATTTTTGCCAAAGTCACGCAACCTATGAATACTACATTCAAAGCTTGAAAATTGCGGTGATAACCTTTAAATAACAGATCTTTAAATTTAAATGCTCCATTATGTCAGTGGTATAACAGCTGGAATTTTATAGCATCAACTTCCAAACAATGATGATCTACTTATTATAGTCATTACTTTTGTAGGATTAACGTTATCATATATGCCTCTACTATCTTTAGAAATTGTTTATGTGACTCTATCAAAAGTCAATAATCAATCATTGCATATAGCTTACATCTGTATTAAAACTTGATGTTTTTCAATATCGAAGTATCTTGTAGAACTTAACCTACAGCAATCGAAACCGTACCTCACCATAATCAAAGATCACATAGTATACTTGTGAAAGAGCCCCATTACTTAAAACCCACATATCATATCGCTCGTAGTAGAAGAGAAAGCATCCTATATATCGCGTTTGTCGTTTATTCAGAAAGGTGGAAAAAGTGTGTGGCTTATATTTTTAGAAACTGTGTTATTTCCTTCATACGACTCTGATTGGCGTTAAGGAATTTTATTACTTTATTGTTTGTGCCATGATATTTTATTTTATGGATCTTGAAATCTCATTTCTTATCATTATTTTAATTGGAAAAGCAGTTTTATCACGCTGTAAAATGACCAACAATATCCGATACAAATTAATGAATTGAATTAATGAATCGTGAAATTAGAGGCATTCCGGCCACCATAAGGAGCCAGTGCATAGGCCGCTTAAGCGGGCCCTTATGCACCTCTATATTCCTTAGATCACAAGCCTCGCCCTTTTAGCGAAGTTGAGAATCGCCTTGAGTCCAAGCTCCTTGACGTGCTGAGGGTCCAAAGTAATGGACCCCAGTATAGTCTGCTTATAGTAGCTCATCCAGAGCTATCCGATACAAAGCTAACGTATTCAATACAATAAGGATAATACGTGCAAGAAGAAAATCGGTACAAATTACTGACAACGAGCTTAATTCGTACTGGTATGTTTGTAGAATCAGAAATTGTTAGATAAATAAACATAAAAGGTTCACTTTTTGCCTAACCAGTATCAAACCGTAACCATGAAATGCGGCAGCTATATACAAATCATTTCTCAATAAACGGAAAATATATTGGCAGCATGCAGCATGAAAAATGGATCAGTATCATGAGATAATTCAATTTGGTATTCAATGGACTAGATATTACAAATATTATATTGGAGTTGGCTAACAAAAATCAAGGCTATAGAAAATGTTATGCGGAGAGATTTTGCAAAAAATTAGTTTTATATGGTGTACAAGAGTCAAGATATAACAACTTCAGGTGGCAGCGAGAGAATTTGACCTTTATAATGACACCTATCTAAATTCAAGTGTACATTATAAAACAGTTTCCACATGTAAAAAACATGTAAACATCCCAAAGAGTGGATTTTTCCAATGGAAAGGGATGTCATCGGTACTTCTGTTCACCATAGATTCTTTTCCGAAGATGGTATGATGGCTCTGGGTCTTGCACTTATCATAGCTTCATTTCCCAGAATTCGAGTATGGTCTGTTCTTCTGCAGATATTTCTTCATCTCAAGTCAGCAACACACCTAATTCATTTGTAATTCATGGATACTCCTAGCAGGGCTGACCTCTCTTATTAAAAAGCAGCACACCTTTAATTTGATTATTACTCAACCAACAAACGAACCTGCAATAACCGCAGATTTGCATTTCAAGGAAGTTCCAGCTATGAAAAAGTAAACTTTCTATTTCCTAAACTAGCATAAGCGTTTACATTTAGTTGTTTGCAAAATGTACAGGATAGAATTTTTGTTCTTCGATATGGTTGGCGGTCGTACAAAAACATGATAAGGTTTTTTTTTAATAAATTGTCAAAAAGACACTCACCAAAATGGTGATATTTTTAATCCTTTCAGTATTCTTGAACACGTTAGCATATTTTGGAAAATATTCGGAATGCTCCGATATTTTTGTTGTATATTTCTTATTATATTGCTAATGTACCAATTTTCAAAAATATAACTGAATTAGTAGTTTACCGCGTCGCAAAATACCGATGGATTAGTTCACATACTGATGAAAACTCTAGTAGAAACAGACATACGGAGTCTTTTTGAATTAAATAGTTTATTGTTATTGTTAGTGGATAACAAAAATTGCTATTTTTCATCCATGATAACTGTTTTTGCTCAAAATGCATTATCTTGTTCCTCTAACATTTACATCAAATATGAACAACTTTGTTTTAATTGCAACGATATAAGTACACTCATCTTTACTACTTCCTTAATAGCAGAATAACCTTAATGACCAGTTATTTATGAGCTTCAAATTATATGAACCAGGCTCCTCAAATGGTTAAGTAGCAAAATGATATGAACTGTCGTGTATATAAAATCAATAAAAAATCAAGGTCCAACTGGATGACAAAAGTTTTTATGTTATGAGATCTAGAAGGAAACCTAACTATTATCAATGATTGATTGACCAGATTTCTGGACCTTCTGAAAAATGTTTGACCAAACATACAGTTCCTTTTTTTCAAGGGACTAATTTTTCGGTATGTAGAGTAACAATGGACAAAACGTTCAGTTATTCACCATTAGACGTAAGAGCGAGTTTTCACAATCTCAGAACTGAATGAAAATCAAACGCCTTGCGCTGTTAAGTTCACATTTCTTTGGCTACAAGCATGCAAGCTATTACTACGCTTAACCGGTATCATTACCCGATTGATAAATTGCATCGAAACGTACGCTTTCCAATCCTAAGCCTGAATCAGACAGCCAAAGGTTTGTTGCAGCAAATGTAGAAAAATCCTGTAAATTGCCAATACTAAAAGCCGTATATGTTGAAGAAGCGCTATATTTTGTATGTCACGGACCGGCGAAAACCATAAAATAGAAAGTTACAGGTTACAGGCAGGGTCGTCAGCAACAACTACATAACAGTTGAGCATCGTCATCGCAACACAGCCTAAAATAACATCCATCGCCCACTCGATTGCAGTTTCTGTTTACTCTTTTATACTCCATTGTTTTTTCTGTTCGATTCTTCGCTGTTAACGACTTCTAGCGCCTCATGTTGTGAATGTCTAATGTGCCAGACTTGTAACGAACGCCCTGTACAAGACGGTTCTCTTTGTAATCCGTTGTTGGGCAATACGAGGTGCGAATGGTCAAGGAAGAGAGTATAACAAACGTAGCTTTCATTTTCAGGCAAAAGTATTTTCAATACAATTATTTTCATGCGAGACTATTCTATAAAAATGAATCATGAATCAACTTATTAACTTCGTCCTGCGTGACAACTAGACAGATTAGTTTTTCTGGAAAGGTTAGACGCAACTTCTTCAACGCAAGCAATACTGTAAATGACCTATTTCTGATCTATAGATTTTGAACGTAGGTTACTTCTGAAAAAATATTCCTCGTGACCCACTTCCTTCAATCTATGTGTCTGACTATCTGTCCGCTAATTTTTGGGTTCGCGATACCTCGTAAAGCACCACTGTAGTTTGGATAAAATGTGCACATGCACATATTTTCGATACATTTGCCATTAAAACAAAAATATTTCATACTTACAAATCTGGTGAAGGCGCACGTAAAATCCATCTTTAAAAAATCTTTACCTGAGTTCACAAACCCAGTCCAGTCGCAATAGCATTTACCTTTTAAATAGGCTTGACCTGTTGTTTTTTATACTTTGTGTATTAGAAGCCACTACACCTACAAGTCACTGCGGGTTATATAAATAAAACTAAAAATTAATTCGGACATGATTTAGTTGATGACATGATTGCGTGAGTACTCAGTCAATCTGCTTGTCGCCATTCTTTAGATCTGATGGATTATTCTTGCACCTATAGCCTAATCAATTACCTTTTTGTGAGTACATTTTAGGTAGCGGAAAAGGCAACCAAGGCCCACATTTATAGTCGAGCCTTAAACTGAGTTTTTGAAATATTTGAGGCTTTGTAAAATTTTGCTTATTCAAAATGAAGTTTTTTCTGAAAATTTTGAAATTTTGTTAATCTTAAAGATATTGGGGGGCTTAAACAGTTGGAAAATTTGATGAAGGTCTTAAAATTCAAAAAATTTGAGGTTTTGAAATTTTGTTAAATCTGTTATGATAATTGTTACAGTACTGTAAAATTTCGACTTAAGGGTCACCCTAGTGACGACTTCAGTCCAGGAGGAGCCCGTAGATGGACAAAATCCAATTTGAACATTTTGGTTTAATTTTTACGAGTTTCTGTTCAGAATTTCAGACTAACTACAAAAAATATTCTTAAAGAAATGATGAAAAAAAACGTTGTTACAAAGCTTGGAAGTAACATAAGCGTGCTTTTGCGACAAAAATACTTGTAAGCAGCATAAGCAGATAATCTGTTACAATATCTCCTATTTTAACTCTTACTTTTGCTTTTTCATAATCTACATTCTTCCAACGGGAAAAATGCTTTAAGCTGTTCTTTAATATTTTTGAAGTGATATGATACAAAAAAATAGTGGGGAGAAGAAGAAAAAAATTTATATCGCTAAAAAAATTGCCAAAGACTTATTTTCCTGTTTTTAAGAGGCAAAATGAACTTTTTTCCCATATACATTGTGATCATCTCAAAATAGACATCTATGTTTATTGCTCCATAGTATACGAAATGAGTGTCAAAACTTGAAAACGGGTTTAAAATATTTGAGCCGACCTGTTCAAGCCGACGGTCGGTACCTTTTATTTCCGAGGCAACCCAGTTCCCAACTTAAAACATGAGAATTATCTACAGCTTTGCAAATTTTGGAATGAATAAGTAACCTCAAGCGCTTCCAAAATATTTTTTGACTACCCCCTCCCAACAAATCTATAGCTACGTATGTCATGATAGTTACAATAAAAATTGACCAATTCGCCTAGAACAAGATCAGTATTTTATATTGTTATATTGTTTATGTTCTAAATTTCCCTTCTTATATGGATTCTAGGCCTATCACAAACCCCACAGCGCAGCGGTCCAGATCACCAAGATAGCAGCGGTGACAGTGGTGCTATGCTCAGTCGTCCTGGGGTGCTTCCTGTTAGCCTCTGCATACGTCACAGCTAATGCTTCCTGCAGGCAGTTGGAACAGGAATTGGAACTACTCAGTGAGGCGGCAGATAGGTTCCAGTCCCCGCCTCAACCCGAAGCTTTGGTGCAGGTAAGTCCAAAATCACTTTTCTTTTTCTTCTTATTCTTCGTCCTGAATAACTGAAAAAAACTGGACCTACGTGTTTTCAAGAAACTGTACTCTTTAATGTGTCATTAATAAGAAAGTCCCTCCCTAGATCAGTCTATCGATAAGTAGGAGGAGAAAAGTTGCAGAAGTTCCGTCGTCATCCATTAATGTCACCTTCAAAGACGGAGTTAATTTTGTAACTGTTTTTTTGTGTGCAATGGTTCAAATTTGCTATCTTCTAAAACAACGTTCTAGAAGCTCTTAAACAATAAATACCAATAAGACGAAAATGATCCCACTGGCGCAATTATTTTTTTCTTTTGTATACTTGTTTTCAACAACGAACGACCGGTTTTGCCACGCTGTGCCAGCGCCAACGATGTTTTCTTCGGTCCAAAAACAAAAGTGACTTGGGCTGAGCCGCGTCAGCTTTTTTTGTTGGCATTGCATAACCTCCAAGTTCGAAGAACGAAGAAAGAGAATAGTCCAGGCACCATCTGTACAGAGAGTGTCGGCTTCTGCTTAAATGTCTGAACAAGACTAACATTTACGACTCTGATATCCTTGGAAAATCACCTCCCTACGTATTCCCACAAATCTTCAGTCTTGGCGCCATATTCCGAAGTCCAGCTCAAGCATCGCCACAACTAGGCATAGCGCTAGTAGTAGTAGTAGTAGTAGCAGTGGGGAGGTGAAACCTTGTAACTAGGTCACCTTTGACAATTTTTGTCGACTCCGTTGTACCAACACGCTAGTCCACAAGCCATCTCCTGGTAACTGATTATGGAATAAACCAGCTCCAGCGACGCTACGTACCTATATTGATCTTGCACCGATGTGGTGAGTAATATATACAACAGACAACACAACATCCATGCCTCGGAATTCCCGAGGCGGAGATTCGAACCCGCTAGCCTTCGGGTAGACCGATTAGTAGCCCCACGCGCTAATCATTCGGCTGCCCAGTACAGGGATAGCACTTCAGATCATGTAAGACGTTCGACAGCTTGAGATACCTGAATCTCTTCTTTGAGTACTTGGTCTTTGTCACTGAAAGATCTACCGATGCCCAGAAATGGTTTCTGAGAAATCAATACTCCAATGCATCCGAACACCCTCTAAAAAATTTTGCATGGCTTTCGAAACCTTCAGGTTTCCGAGAGTGCAACATACCAGGGAATATTCTTTGGGTAACAGAAACAGGTTTTAACGTTCTTTCCTGGTTACTCTAGGCCTTGCTTTTGCTCTGTTATTCTAGGCCGCTATGAAACTTCTACATGACTGATATGAGGCTCTTAGGCATTATTTAACCCTCTTTTATTGCGGGTTGTGAAGCCACGTAAGATTGCGTAAACTTCTCGATTAGCTTTAAGAATTCTTTCTTTAATGAGGCCGTCCCTGCTTACTGTTTTATTAAGATTGAGACCAACGCATCATATTTGATGGTCGACGGGGGTTGCGTATGTATGTCCTAAAAGTTTTGGCACAAAATATTTACTATCTAGTTATCATAAATTACAACTCAACACTTAACTAAACTATAATATCGACGCAACTTTCTTCGAATGTCTCTCATGGTGTCCTGGACAGAATTCAGATCAATTTGTCTCAGTTTTTCGTAAATTCTCCTACTTAATTGTTCTTCATCTTTGGCTTTCCAGCCTCCGTGAGAAACCTTCGTAGACAGTAAAGCCCAAAAATCCTCTATTGGGCGAGCCAGTGGGCCAGTTTGGAGGATTACGCTTATTGGGATCAAAAGGTATGTTGTGTTGTTGGAACCAGTTTTTGGTTCCTCTTGAGAATGGCATGAGGCTAGGTCTGACCAAAACATGATATGGTCATTAGCATGATGTTTGTGGACAAACTGGAGCAATCTCAAAAGGCAGTTATCAATATAGCTCTGACCATTCAAAGCTTCACCCCTCATTCTTCCCACAAAAGGTTGGGATACACCCCTGTTGGAAATCGCGCATCAGACAAGGATTTTATCTGCAAATTTCGCTCTATGTTTGTATCTACCATTGTCAGGACATTCCTTTACATTGTCCGTATAAGATCCGTTGTTTCCCTTTATTTCAGAATTACTCAAAGTGAAATACTTTTCGTCATCTAAAATAATGATTTTCCCATTGGCAAAGTGTACCTGTCTCAGTTGATGACAGCATCTTGGTATATGAAGGAGTTGCTTGAGAGTATTTGGGGTTTTTAAATCTCTTTCGATATTTAAGATCATTCCTCCTCAATTCCAACGATATTGTACTCTTAGAAGATCCGTATTGACGGGCCAGTCTCCTTGTTGACATTCCAACCTGATTTTTTGCTCTTCTCACCAATCTCTCTGCAGTAAATGGACGTGGTCTTTTTTTTGGGAGATTCAGACATGGTATTCCCTGCTCGCACTCAAATATTGTTCGATAAATGGTTCTGCGTGAAATGTTGTCATTCCGGAATATTCGACCGATTTCAGTTTTCGGTGTCCGCCAATCAACTCTTTTTTTCCAATTCATACGACATCTTAAAGCCAAAACTGATACTTAAGTAAGTAAACGAATAAACTTTTGTTTCCAAAGGCAACCTGATATTATTTTGTGTTTGTTAAAATTAAAGCCAATGAATTTTGGGCCAGAACTTTTAGGACATACGTTACTACTGTTCGCTCTCCATTCCCGCCAAACTTGATACCCTCCATTTTCTGCTAATTACAAGTAAGCCCCTCACCAAACATAGTACTCAAATATTTCTTCCATTGCTATGGCTATGGCTGTGTTTTGCTGTTTGGATTCATTTAGCACGAACAGATCATCAGCGTATTGTGCAACCATCTCAGTACAAATGTCGCCTGAACTAAAGTTTGAAGAACGAAGAAGCCAGAAGATATGAAATAGGCGTCGTGAAGATGAGTTGCAGGTCACGTGGGGCCGGCGAAATCTGAAATGCACCGTTGTGCGCGTCGCATTGCGAATTATGTAACACTTTCGTTGCAATTTTTCCACTTCCTGTTGAGGTGATTAACCTCCCGTTCAATATGAAACATTATTAACTAATTATATTCACCGCGTACCCACTGTTGCAATTGGTCAGTAGACGCTTATCTGTCTGCCAGAGGCGTACATCTATATGCAAGATAAATGAAATGTAGAGTAAACAGTAGACTATAAAATACACTTATGTGTCAGATGGGAAGGCCAGCTTCTTGCCGACCCCGTAGTGCCGCCACTGTATCATGAGCCATCTACTGGTATCTGATTATTGAATCAACCAGCTTCTGCAATGCGGTGTACCTATGTTGATCTTGCACCAGTCTAGTGCGTCAGGTACCAGCGAAATGCAACACAGAAATATTTGGTAAAATCGGAACGTAACAAAGTTTTGTTAAACTGTATTTTATTTCGGCAGACGATTGGTACACTGTTCATTTATAACGTAAAGATGTGAAATGCTTAGGATTCTGTCAATAATAAAGAATGCTCTGGGTCTTGAACAAAAATTCCCTTTCATGTACGTCGGCATTCACTAACGTTTACTAGCTTCTTCAAGAATCTACTATGTAAGTATTTTCAAATTTATAAGTTTCTTTATGTGATAAGTATTTATATACCACGAAACTGTTGACAACAAATGCCAAGTTAAAAATTTCCGTCAATATTTCCAAAAATCATCGATCTGGTTTTTAAGATAAGATCTATGATTGGTCAAAGTCAATAGACTTATTTCTGACTCACCGCTAACCATCGTTAGAACTCTAAGAAATCTAAGATACCAAATAAGATGAAACCAAAGTCATTAATGCAAATTTGAATGCTAGTGAAAAAAATCTGTAAATATTTATCTAGTTGAACCGGTATACCTTCAACGGAATCTTCCATACGAAGAAACTAGCGGGGAACTTGTGAGTGAACCTTGAAATTTATGTACGCTGATGAATGACGTCATCGTGTAAACAAAAGTGTAGAACCTGATTTGTATTCCTGATGGCCACGAACATGATGCTTGCTTTGTTCACGAACATGTTTTCTTCTTTCTGCTGCTAAAATGCAATTTGAGGCGCCATTGTCTACAACTTGTTCTAAAACGAGCTTTGAATCATAAGTGGTTGGGCTCTTATTCTTAATCGATTTCCTATTATTGTCTGTCAGAGCGGTTTTTAGTACATACTGTACCAATACTATAACATTTGTTACCAGATCAGACCGTAGGACATTTTTTCGTGGTTAAAATCTTGTGGGCTAGTAGGTCTATTAGGTCTTGTTGCTAATGTGGGTTTGAGTCAAAGCCAAGATAATTATGGAAAAAGTATGCAATGATGTAGAGCCGGGACCAAATAAAAGGAGTTTCTGATTTTGAAATACAATAATCAAACGTTTTAGATTTGGAAAGCACTTAGTCCCGACCAATGAATTCGAATAGGTTAGGGTTAGGAGGATCCAAACCAATATGTTTGCATTGCTGTGTTTGTTGTCGAACTTGCTAGGTTTAAGCGCACACTTTTGACTTACTTATCTACCACTAAATGACAGTGTTGTATCAACGTAGTAATAATAACATTTACCGGTGGAAACAACTACGTTAATTAGGCTTGTGCCGTTCTTTGCAAATTATGTGAGAATACCTCGTCTTGAAATCGTCTATCTGCAAACACACACAATTTTTTGAAATAACACTAGAATTATAAATTTAATGACAGAGCTGTCAAAAAATCTACTTGTGCCCAATGCACTTTCAGCCTCATTACAGACTATTATAATTGGGAGTCAAACATATTCTTGACTGGCTCCCTCTACCTAGAATCAATTCCTTGGTCCGGACTATATCAAGAACGAGCTTAAATCTTGCTAAGAGACAAGACTAAATTTACCAGGGCTCCTCAAAAGTTCTGGATAGTGGAAAACTTTACTACTAAATTATAGCTAAATGCCAAAATAAAAACCCTTAACTTTTAAATTTTTATTTCCTTTGTAGCACATTTATTGAAATATCATGGCATTTTAATTTCATCTATCATTTTAGACTTATGGAGCTAAGAAAAATTAGCAATACAGATAACAAGCCTTTGGTTGTCCACAGTTATTCTCAGCAGCTGAATAAACATATGTTCACTTACATTTGAAAAGCACAATTGGGTAAATACGTCGATACGAATTTTTCATAGCGCAATAGACGTACACACATTTTTCGAGCATCTGCATCACCTTGTTTCTTTTCAATATATATTATGCGAATGCATCATCAGCTTCAAATATTCTGAAAAATAATCAGAGACTTTTGAAATGACTAAAGGAGATTGAGAAATTCTTGTACCTCTTCAATTTCTTTTCCATTGAATCGTTTTTCGTTGACTTTAAATCATTTTGTTGCCCTCATTCCAAAAGTAGCCGACCGATAGGTACTTTTTTCATAATACCCACGTTATAAACATGCAAGAGCATAATATCTCGAATTTCTATATACTTTCTCTTGAATTGTCCACAATTATACGTTCCCAGATGCTCAATATTAGGTACTAAACTAATTAAAAGCTTCGAATAATCACCTATGCTACTTGGACTGATATGATAAGCAATGCGTTGTACAAAACAAATGAAAAACCATGAATTACCTACAGATAATATGAATAACAATATGTAATTGCATAGTAATTCTAACATTTTTTAGTAAGTAATTGCATATGGTTTCAGTTGCATAACTTAATCTTCCTCATTTTCCAACATATACTTTGTCAATACGGAACTATTATATAACATCAATGACTGTAAAGGTGAAGTGAGAAAATCGCTAACTATCCTCCAGATATTCATTAAAAGTCAAAAAAATAGCATACAAGAAACATTTTCGCGTATTTCGACCGAAATACCTACAAAATTTTAAGTAGAATTAAAAATAAATGACCTGTATTATTGTATCAGTGGGAGTTGCAATATTGCCCTGTAACAAATAAATAAGGAAAGTTTAATAGGTCATTTCAAGCATTGGGGGCGCTAAAGCCAATTTGCTGTCCTAGAGCCTAAAGAGGCTTGTCTGCTAGAAAGTGGCACTTAACGCCTGTAAACCCTATAAATAAAGTATTTAAACTTATTCGCCATTTTTATAACATCATTTTGAGGAAAGATTTTTCAATACT